CCCTCTCACCTGCTGCCTTTGGCAGAGCCATCATCACAAAGAGACTGCTAATAACCACTGACTCACTTTTCAGTAAACAGACACTGTGATCAGCAGGGAATCTGGGCAACCAAAATGAGGGATCTTTTCTCGTAAAGCTTTGAAATTAGGAGGAGGCCCTCAAAGTAACAATAACAAACAGATAACTCCACAAATAAACAGCAGGTCTCTTCAGAGGTGCGTGAAATTGAGAGCTAATAGGTCGCTGTCAATCAAGCCGAATAGAAATGTACGCAGCACAAAGTGGTGATGTGTATTAAACCCTGAGTGCATAAATCATGTTGTACATGATTTCCGAAAATCAGATGCATTGAACACTCTTGACATTTACCGGAATTTTTGCCAGATGGATGCTAAATTGAGTTATCATAGGAAAATGCAAAATGATGACCGTCTTCAGGCAGGTAGTTAATAGAAGCTCAACAGGTTAAAAATTAGCTTCGCTACATGCATTTTATTCTCAGCCAAGGTACGTAAAGAAGAAAAATAGCCCTTATAACCCTGCCTACATGGCAGGTTGCCAAGGAGACTGTAACGCAAGAGAACATGGTGACAATATACAGTAGAAATCAATCAGCATACAATTCACATATTTTTCACTATGAAGTGGGCTGACAAGATCTATATCTCACTGTAAATGACCCATCCAAAAGCATTACCTCAGACCTGGATAAATATTTTACAAGTGTGAACAAGCAGAATTACACTGGGCCTCAACAGATGAATTACAGCAATCAGTATTAAATTTCCCTTTATGCTTGTGTTACACTTTCCCACACGGTAAGGTAAATTGGCTCTAGAGACTGCAATCCATTAGTGTGTTGCACCAATGTTGCTGCAATTGCCTCGTTGCCCAGTTTGTGTGATGATGAAAGGTAAAACAGACACTTTATCAAATTACATGCACATTTTGTTTTGAAAAAGTCAAACGATGAGGAGTCAGAGAGAAATTATTAATAGACATTAATAACATTCTGAAACCCTCAGTGCATCAAAGTCTTGAAGGGGCAAGATTATGCGAGATATTTACTTTTCTAAGCCACAGGGGTGAAGTATATTTTTGTCATCAAATATAAAAGGCAGAAACTATGATTCAACTGTAAAAATTAACACTGCTTGAATATTACTTGCTATTTAATGTGTGGTAACTGTAGACAAACAACGATGATCAAGAAAGGTGAAAAGATAAATAAAACTAGGTTCATGTGTTTTGTCTCTTTAAAATGCACAACTGCAAATGATGCTCCAAGAGCACATAAAATAGCTGATGCTTTAAGACAAAACCCCTCATTCTGTCCTATCTACTGTGAAGGGGAAAAGGTATATTTGCCTTTATAATGTGCACTTCTTTCCATCAAATGGATCAAGAACTGATGGTAGATCAAGACAGCGAGAGTCATTTTAGTTTAGCTTAAACTACAGATGGAAATGAATTTGTTCCATATAGGAGATTTTGATCTTGCAGACTCAACACAATGAAAAAAAAAATGTATTCAGAGAGGTCACCGATAGAGACTACATGCACGTTTCAAATAGCATGTCTGGCATTATCCTCCAATGAAATGGACAAAAAGAACATTTTATTCTTTCTTAATTCACTTGGAGTGCAAGCATGTGGTGCTTTGTCTTGCAAATGTTTGGCTTTGGCTGCTTGATCTTAGTGCTATCCTGGAAATTACTGTAATAATTCAGCATATTATGTTCTTCTTGACCTTGGGTCAGGTACTCTGATGAATATATATGACGCTGTGAGACATAATGAAATGGTTGGATGTAAGCAAAAGGCAGAAAAATGCAGATGGAAGATAAGTGTGTCTAACTTCACCTAATCTTACCCTGTGAAGATACCAGGAACAGATGGCACATAACTATTCATAAACTGCAACTCTACCCAAATAAATTATATAACTACAGAGCCTCCACCTAGAAAAGCATCCCCATCCCAAAAAAGACAACTTAGACAACATTGCATCTGAAATAAAAAAAACTAAAAAATTAATAAATGTGCTTTAACAAAAATACACTGCTTTCAAACCCTCAGACTATCTTGCCTCTTAGGCTTTTATTGTAAGTGCATTACTATAAATGCATTACCTGTTCTATTTGACAAACTGAGGGATGAGCTGAAATTCTCTTCTCTGGTAATAAACCACAGGCCACAGATTTTTTCAAGTTTAACTTGAATTTAATCCAGAATGTTTTTAGTCATGTCGACCTTATAAATAAGGTCTTCATGAAGTTTAAAAAGTATCATTTTTACCCTTCAAAATGTACTTTAGCTAAATTGAAAGAAAATGCTTCCCAAAAATAATATTTATAAAGGAATAGATCACTCACCCAAAATTTTTAAATCATTTACTTTAAACCTGCATTACTTTATTTCTACTGTCAAACACATGCAAAAAATAAAAAAATAAAACAATAAAAAAAAAATAAAAGCAAAAGGGACCCAATGTTGTTTTCACTGTATGGACAAAAATCATTTGGAACATTCTTCTTTTGTATTTTATGCAGGCTTGGGATGACATGAGGGTGAGTAAATGATGACAGAAATCTCTTTTTTTTTTTTGTGAAATATCCTTTAAGGGTATAGTTATTGTTGTAATTGTTACCCATGAAGAAAATGAGCTAGAATATGGAGGGATAGAGACACAACAGAAAGGAAAAGAGCTTGAAAATGTGTGATGAAAGTCATGGCTGTGTAACTCAAGGACACAGTGATCCTGGGTGTCCCTCTCCTCTCTGAATGTTGCTTTTAAGAGCGGCGGCACAGGAGAGACTTTGGCTATGTGTGTGCCTGTCCTGTCAGTGAACCCATTACTGGCATCTCAAATTTTAAACACTGAAAGCCTGTCTACTTTTGTTTCTGAACTGATGAAGATTGTGTGAATCTGAAAAGGCAAGAGTAACATCTGAACAGAAGGGATACCAGTGAGATTACAGAAATGTAAGAGGTGTAAAAGCACAGTAAGTCATCCTGTATGTGACCTGTATGTGGAAGGTCACATGTACAAAACGATGTGTCGTGTCTAGTTGGCCAACATAAAATATACGCATGGCTTTTATTTCACTGGCTTTTATTTTTTTTGTATCCATTTGTCAGGACACTAAATTATTCTTCAACAGAGCTATTATTGTCTAAATTGAGTGGTAAGCTCATTATTCACAATTTGCTATTGTGACATGTCTGAAATTGGTTACTCTGCTGTGCTTAATTCTATTTTTCGTTTGCCCAATAGGTGGCTCCTTGTCTCTATGCCAAAAGCGATAAGAAGTGGCTAAGACTTGGCAGACTTGTAGTGCAAATCTGTGCCAAACTCTGTCATGGTGCCATTCAGAAGATTACAGTGTTGTTCATTAACCTTCAAGTGAAGTAGAAGAAACATAAACAGAACAGAACAGAGCAAAATGCTATGTTTATGAACAATGCCACACATCCTAATGTATATAGATAAATATAGCTGCAAAGTAAATATTTAAATGAAGTCATTCAAGTCGCACATGTGTAACAATGTTTGACAATGAAGTCAAACATGCTTCCTTTGTGTGTAAATGGGGTTTTTGGAATTGGATTGCAGTGGTGGAGTTACTGTATGCTCCTCTGCATTCTAGCTCTCAAAATCAAGGCCTACAAGATGAGAAATTGTCCCATGCAGATTTTCTGGGCATGCTAGCACTGTAACCTGATATTTTACAATTCCTTTAGAGCGTTAGAAGCATAAAGAAATGTAAGCTTATGGAATGGGGAAAAATAAACATCTTAAATATATATATATATATACAGTGGGTACGGAAAGTATTCAGACCCCCTTAAATTTTTCACTCATTGTTATATTGCAGCCATTTGCTAAAATCATTTAAGTTAATTTTTTTTCCTCATTAATGTACACACAGCACCCCATATTGACAGAAAAACACAGAATAATAATAAAAATCCTTAGTATAACAGATCAGGAAAATGTGTCTTTCTGATCTGTTATACTGAGGACATTTTTTTTTATTTATTACATAATATATATTTTTATTTAAAAAAAAAAAAAATTTATTTTCTATATCTTATAATATGCAGAAATATGAGTTTATATGATAAAAATAGATCAATGTGCTGTACTAATACCTTTTCTGGATATGAAACATGAATGTTAGCCTGTGATATGTGGGCATATGAGTGTGGATGTACCGTGTACGCATTGGTTTTTGTTCAGTAGAAGGGTGTGTACTTTGCATTCTCAGCTGGTAGGATTCACCAATTACCATGTTTACACAGCAAATTCTTGAGCAGCTCATTTTATTATCCTTCATATAAAACGGTGCTGATAGATCTGTACGAGAAGGTCAGCAAACAGAACCCCTCATAATCATGCTTCATTTGTGACTCATCAAGTGGGCTTACTTACTGCACCCAACATGCAATCATTACCTATACATGCTCTCTCTCACACACACACACACACACACACACACACAATGTATGCATGCAAGAGCACACACTCACTACCTTATTCAATAATATGGTATACATCATTCAGAAAAGAGACATTCAGGTTTGGTAGAAGCGTATGAATATACGGCCATTAGCTGAGTGGGTGGGAAAATCTAGAAATCTGTTCCTGTCAGGAAAATATGAAAATGTTATGACATTTTAGTAATGACAAGGTTTCTATGACAACAGTGTCTGTAAGACTGCAAACTGCAAAGCCTTGTTGTTATTGACAAATGAATGCATAAATGCATTATGGTCCACAGAGGTTAAGCATTCATTTAGGTTAGAAGCTGAAAGTTATATAGCCATTTCTCTCTGTTCACATCCGTGACCCTGTACACTGGAAACAATTTCAAAAGGACAGTATAATACATAGACTGTACATGTGGTATTTTCTATTAACTTCAGACACAGCAGAGTAAAAATGTATGTGTTTACATGCATCTGATTTATTAAAGCAAAATGCAAGAGCACTCACTTGGATCAGACAGGATGGAATCAGTCTTGGGCAGGAACTGGTCACAACGAATGCCCTGGAAACCCTCTTTACACCTGATTTGAGAAAAAGAAAAGAAAGAAAAGAAAGACAGTTAGTAAACTGAAATAAAAATAAAAAGCTGAAAAGAAAAAAACATGATAACATGAGAACATGATAGCAAATCAAATCACAAACCATAGTGACAAATGCGGACAGGGAATGGAGCTAAATCCAAACTGAACTGAAACCGTGATAACCTTACTGTAATCAAGGCAAGTTGTTTTTTTTTTTTACTAGAAAACAGACAACTGGAAATAATTTTTTGTGGTAATCAACACTGTCACAAGTGTTTTCGATTGAGCTTAACTTAAATTGAACCTGGAATATTCCTTTAAATCCTTTAGGCCACTCTAATTAAAACACTTTTTAGGGGCCTGGCTGGTCCCTGTGCATTTCACAACAATGAAACTCCTAGACATGGATAAGCCAATCAGAGTGAAAAATGTTCAAGGCTTTTCTGGAAATCATATGGGAAATCCACATGTGCCATATCATGCATCTGTTGCAGATGGCAGTAGATTGATTTGGAAGTACATGGGCACAGCGAGTTTGCTGATTTTCTACCTCAGCAAAGCCCTAACTGCTTGAATAAGATCTATCTGTGTTCACTAAATATGGAAATGAAATGCTTGTCTTTTATATAAGACATATGTATGCCATGTCCCTCCAAGCCAAGCTGTTTGCTCTCTCTCCAGCTCTCTTGCTCATGTAACTGCTCATGTGTTTCTGACTTTCTCACTCTTTCACTCTCTCTCCATCCTGTCATCACTTTATCCTCATTTTTCCCTCACTTCTTGACTTTTCAAAGACACTGGAGGCTAATACCGCTTTCAGCTAGTTGAGTCAGGAGAGCAATGTAACAAAGGAAAATGTCCCTGGCTCTAAATGGCAGAGTACAAACAGAGCATATGCATATGCCATGCACACGAGCCTCAACAAATAGCATAAGCCTTTGTTGAGTTATACAGCACATTTCATCCTTTTACAGAGGCTCAAGAGCTCAATTTAATGCTGCATATTTCTTAGGCTGTATGTTTCCAAGTTCCCAGCTGAAAAATATATACATTTTAAAGACGGGATTTTTTCTCGTTTTTTACATTATATACAACATAAATAAATATAGAGCATTTGCCTGGATCAGCAGCTTTCTCTGAGCTATTTATAGTTACCATATGATATTGCTTACTTTTCATGCCATTTTCACAACTGTAGAAATTTGCTTTGTTCCGAAAGAAGGACTTAAATTGTAATATATTAATACAGTTAGAGCGGGAATGAAGGCTCCGTCTAGACAGCATTCTTGCAATGCACCTGTTTTGGAGAAAAGCAATGAGAAGAGCAGCTCTTTTGTTTTCAACTGAAATAAGAAATCTGCTCACTCACATTATAATATTATGAATTATAATATATCTTATTTCGTTGGTCCATTGGATCAGATTGCTTTCTTACCACAAGCAACTGCTCCAGAGTTAGTTTTCAATTGGGCTGTGACTACCTCATTCAGGCAACCTTGGGCTGATTATTTTGGTTTGAATCTGAGAGTGCTGTGAACCAAGGTGTGAAAACGCCCTTAGGCAATATATTTTTGCTTCACCAACAACTGCAGTTTGAAACAAGGCCGTAGTAGACCCACTGCATCATAAACAGTAGTGGTGTTTTGTCCCAGAATGAATCAATGTTTTGAATAAATTGGTTGAATGAATGATTGAATGATTCACTAATAAAGACCGCTGCTTGTATTCTTCCAGAATGATTCCGTTTTTTGAATGAATACGTTGAATTAATTATTTAATTTATCTAAAGACAGGCCTTGTCATCATCTACTGGCGTAAAGATAATCTGTAATCTGCACGATTCATTGCCACCACTAATGGACAGACTGACGGTCTGTCAGGAACTCGCAAACACAACAACAGAGTGATAAAAAGAGTGAAAGTCCCAGTCCTGGCTGATCATTCTATCAAACTACCTAGTATAATTCGCTACATTTTCCAAGCCTTGAGTTCTCTGAAGTGAATTGTTTTTAGTGTAACAGCCTGTCTTTTTGTCATGTACAAATTAAGCACTGTTACAAATGTGCTGCTGTGCTCATGGAACAGACTTACTTTCTGTATCGTTCTGGATTTTTTTTCCTTATTACCAGAAGAACCACAGAAAACTGATGAAATTGAATAATTTTGAATACATTTGAATAATTGTCTTTTCTCACTCAAACCCCAAAATTCTAAGCTTACCAACAGCAACAAATATTCATTGGGCCTCATTCATGAAATGCAAGCAGAACAAATTTCTATGTAAATTGTTCATAAAACCATTCTTGCGTAAATTGTTAATGTGCCAATTTACATAAACATGATTTTACAAATGTTTTACACAGAAATGATAAAAGACAGTGTTTCCAATAAATAGCATTACAGTGATATAATTTTTACACCCTTGTCCAATCTAATGTTAACAGTTATGACTCCTCGCTCTATAGTAGAAATCTGCATACAACTAATTGAATGTAACTGTCATGTGTGTCATTAGTAAAGATTTTACGCTAATTGCACACAAGGAGTTATAGAGGGCTGTGAGTCAGTAATCAAATCAGTGGCACAAATGGGCGACTCTGTGCTTTACATAGCGCATAGGTCATGCCTACCCAGTCAACAATTTGATCTCACAATGATGTCACCATGAGCTCAGCGCATGATCTCACGTGTTGACTGGGTAAGGATCTGTGGTCAATTAATCTCTCCCCAATTAATGTGTCCACAGGCAAGTGAAGCTGATAAAGATCTGTAAGATAAGAAACTAATGCAGTACAAATTTACAGAAGGAGGATCATTAAAAGAGAGATAAGTGCTATGGCAGCATTGTGAGGAACAGTCATTATGGGCACAGTATGAGCTGTGGCAATTGGCAAACAGTGGCAATTAAAATGTGGGGAATGGAAGGAAAGAGGTGAAGATGTGGAACTGTACCCAAGAGACCACATTTGGGCTGCTTGTCTCCTTTTATCTTGCCCCGCACAGACATTTTGTTCACAGGCTTGATTTATGGGGAATGATGATACATGTTTAACGCAGTAGGAGGCTTCCTGTTGCTCAGCATACGGCCAAAGCGGAGTCCTTTTCTTTCATACAAAGCTTTTCTTCTCTCTTGTGCACATAGTATAGTGTTGCGGTTATTTTAACATGAAATACTGAAACACATCTCGGATGGGTGTGACAATGTCTTTTAATTGACTAGGCTATGGTCAAACCTTTAATTTCTAATGTTCTATTCTTTTTTCTTTACTCCATGAGGCCCTGTCATGTTACAGGACCCCCTGTGTGAAATCATTCATTTCTTCTGTATAATACAGGCCTATATAGTATATGTTGTCTTCTTGTCACCTTCATATTCCTCCCAACCCTATAATTTTCCTTGGAAAGTTTGCAATGGAATATTTATTAGTCTCTGAGACCTGCAAAAGAAAATGTTAATATTTCTCAAGGACCCAGAATGTATTGAGTGTTGCCTGGCTTTTAATTAGCACCACAGTCATTAATTAGCAGGAACAAATGGGGGAGAGAGATGGGACGCTGGAAGGAGGTGTAGATCTTTCTAACTAAGAGGCAGCTTTACAGGCACAGATAAATATAAATACTAAGCCTCCAGCTGTCAGATTCTTGCAGAATGTGAGAAGAACATGCACATTTAACTATGCACCGCTAATGATCAGGCTTCAGTGTGTTTATCACAACCAGAAAACCATGTGAACCCATTTATGGTGTTCATAATTTCATAATGGGAAATGTAACAGACAACAGTAGAGAAGCAAAATCCATAAATACCAATTAAAGCAACCTGATAGTTTATCATAAGAACCTTTAATTAAAAGGAATGAGATCTGGAGTATGTTACCAGGCTACTCACACAGGCGTTTTGAGATTTAGAACAAGTTACTGTGTTTAATCATGTTACGTTTACTCTGGCTTCTCAGCTGTCCTGTTTTTTTTTTTTTTAAATGTTGGAATTCATGTCTGTTAGTCTAAAGAGAAGCAAATCATAACCAAGACATTTGAGATTTGTGATTTGTTTTTAATTGCTGCATAAGCATTTACACCACAAATCATCCACATTAAGCTGTAATTCCATGAGAGACAGGAAGCATCCAAATGAACTGACTGGGATACAGTAAATATTTAAATCAACAGTCTTTTTGCAGGTTACATTGTTACGCCAGTACGTTGCGACAAGTAACTGTCTTCATGAGTGAGTCATTTGAATCAGTTACAGATTCTTTCACACTTGCTAATTCATTAAGGAATAAAACAAGCAACTGTCTTCATAAACGAGCCACTGAATTATTGATTTAACCAATTAGTTCAAAAACGATAGTTCAATCAGGAACAAAACAAGGGACAGTGTTTATGAGTATGTCGATGAATCATTATCTTAACGGATTTGTTAAAAAAACTGATTCATTACGGAACACACCACCACTAAACGCGTGGCATTTGATTCTCTTGTTGCTTTGTTTGGAACTTTTTTTGTTGGCTAAGCTAAAGACAAAATAACTCCAATTTACTGTTGCATAAAAGCAATATCATACTAGTAATAGTGCTATTTCCCCCCAAATATCAAGTATGGCTGTGATAATCTGCAACACAACAGCAACTTGTAGGTGATGGTAACAAATTAGATTAGGCTTTTGAAAATTATCTTTGTATTTCTTATGTCTTAACTGAACAGTAAACAATATTTGGAGAGTGTGAATTATAGAACAGACATCTAATTAAATAAGGCAGAAAGTGAGGCAGTGTTTGATTTAAAGTATGAAGTGGCTTATGTACCAAACTTTTAAAAGCACCCAGTGGGATCGATCCGCACTGAAGATTTGACATATGACAGAGCCAATTTCCTGGACCTCAAACAAAGCAGAAACTATGGATTTCTCTTTTGTAACCTTTGACCATTTTGTACATCAGGGCCATACACAGACCTTTTGAGGGGCATGTGCTGAAACTGAAAAAGGGCACCCCCC